CAGGTTTTATCGCGGTTTTATAGCGTTCTACAAGCCTAAATCATGGTCTGCAATACCCTTATTAAACCAAAATTGTTACTTGGGAAGGCATATGATAACGATTGAAAAAAAAACACTCCCGTTCGATAGCTATTTTTGTAGTAAATTTTCTTAGCTACAACTTTGCTGAAGATCGTTTTTAACTCAAACGACAAATGAAGTGGTTAAGAATTATTTAAAAGATTAGTAATCTTATGACATAACCATGCAGCTACTTTGTGGGCAACACTGTTAATACAAATATTGCTTCCTGAGCAGTTAATTAAGCATAATCTTAAGGCATCAGGGGATTTTTATTTTTACAGGTGTGATAACTCATTTATCGTTATCTGATCGACAAAAAAAAAACACCTTTAGGAGCTCGACAAGGGTACCCGGGTACCCACAAATTGAAAAACTTGCTACTGCGGCAAATTTAAACCGATTTTGAATCTTTTGGCCCCACTGGATTCAGAAACTTATCCACTGCCTTGCCAATAATGTCCATCCGGAATCGTCTGGTTCCCAGGAATCTGGATTTCCGGTGTAATGTTCCAGAACTAAGCAGTTTCTTGCCAGTTATGCTCGAATTTCGAAGGAATAGATATCAGAATATCAGAATTTACTTCAAAAAACAATTTCATCTCACTTGAGACCAATTTTAAGGTTTATCTCCAGAATGGCCATTCTGGAGCAGGCTCCCGTAGAGCCTCTAGTGGCCATAGAAGTGTTTGGGAAGAAACCCCTGCAGTATGAGTAGCAAAATTCATGACTTTACAGCAGGTTACTGTTTATCATAATTTTGTGATCATCCAATGGATTGCCCCCGGAACGGTCATTCCGGAGCAGGCTCTCGTAGGCCCTCTAGTGGCCATAGAAGTGTTTGGGAAGGAACCTCTACAATATGGGTATCGTAATTCATGAATTTCCAGACTGTTTATCATAACTTTGTGATCATCCGACGGATTGTCCCCGGAAAGTGGTCTCTTGGGTAGTCACCACAGCTGAGCACGTTAGATGCTTTTTTGTTGGTTTCCGTCAAAATGATCGAACGCATTTCCGGTGTGATAATCGTTCGGAAAATATCCACCGCTGTAAACCAATTTGTTCCGCGATGAGCCTGCGTCTGCTGGGTCCTGGCTTGTCCATTTCCAGAAAACTTTTCGAAGGAAATTTCAATTTTTCCACGATTGCGTAGCTTCGTCACCCGGGAAGACTAAATAACACTGCTCTTCAAACAGGGTCGTCAAACTGATATAAACATTTCACGGATACACATAAACCTTGCAACAGACTTTTGACTGCAAAATCTCACCAACACTTAAGCGGGCTAAAGGTGAATAATAAAACATTTTTCAAGAGTAACACGAGAAAAGGGTCTACAAGTTTTTCGTAAACAAACCTTCTCACGCCAAAGTTTTCATCGGGAAAATTCTCTTCCATTGACATTGACATGGTTACCCTATTACGCAATAGGTATTACTGCGCTTTGTGAGAAAGTATTAGTGAAAATCCGTGGCAAATAATAGCAAACCGCTGTCAGCTCTACGGGAACCTGCTCCGGAATGGCCGTTCCGAGGACAATCCATCAAATGGCCACAAAATTATGATAAACGGTCTTCTGTTGTAAATTCATGAATTTTGATACCCATGCTGTAGTGGTTTTTTCCCAAACACTTCTATGGCCACTAGAGGCCCTACGGGAACCTGCTCTGGAATGGCCGTTCCGGGGACAAACCTTAAACTGGGCCTCAAGTGAACAGAAATTGTTTCTTGAAGCGAAAGTGGCAAGAAAGTGCTTAGTTCTGGAACACTATACAGGAATTCCAGATTTGTGGGTACCCGGGTACCCTTGTCGAGCTCCTAAAGGGTATACAATTTCAGGAAAATTGCCGAAAATTGAATTCAGTTTAGGAGTAGTACCAATGGACTGAGTGAATTCAATCTTCACTTTTCTTATATTCGGGAATGTTATCCTGGACAAACCTGGAAAAAACATGACCCAATTTTACTCATCGCTTAGTTCCTGCACTTTATGTGATTTATGAGTAAACTAAACTAAAATTTGGGTCGTTATAATTCGCTGTGCACGCCATTTTAAGAAAATCATAAAAAGGGACATGCATAAAGGACGTAAAATTTGAGGGGGAAAGGGGGGTGGGGGTTCAGAAGTTGTTGTCGGCCATGTATTAGGTATAGCGAAATACGTTACGAAGCGGGAGGAGGGTCTAACATTGGTCAAAAATTAGCTACGTCATTTATGGATGGCCCTAAATAAACAAGAAAACGATAATTTTCATAGCTTTGCTTCGTTAGTTTTTAGGTCATATCTGAAAAACGGTAGGAGACCACCAGTGAAAAATTAAAGTTTTCAAGCAAGAAAACAATCACTAGAAACAGGCGAACCAGCCTTTAGGATGAAAACCTCTTAAATAAACAAAAAAAAAAATCATTAGAAACAATTTCATTACCCTTCCATTGGGAAAAACAAATCTCACCAACGCCCAAGATCACGGTTGATTTTCGTAGACAAAAATCAACAAGCAAACTACTGCGGTTGATTTTGCAAGCTGTGATATCGCAGTTAGGAATATCAAGCTAACAAAACTCACCAACTGCAAATCTCACCAAACTGTGGTGAGATTGAGTTTAATAGTTTTTGCTTTACACCCGAATGCAACCGAAACTTCCATAACGGCTTGCAGCAGTCCCTTCGCGTCTGCCATCAGTGAAGATTAAAAAGAGATAGCAAACTATGTTTTCTCTTTCTAAAAAAACGATGTGCAATGGAATCATTTTTGTGTCGAGTCAACTCTCAGGCTGATTTTTGCACATTGTGAATAGTCTCGCAATATCAAAGGAGCTTGTAAAATCAATATCAAGCATGATATTTTGTTGCAATCTCACGCGTGATATTGCGAGCGCATAAGAGCGGCAAAATATCAATTGATTTCTGATTTTGCCAACACTGACCCTGGCAACGGGTTTTCCTGATTTTCCTAACAACCCGAAATGTTTTGAATTTGTTTTCGTTCATATAACCATAAACTGTATCTGTGGGAAAACTTTCATTAAATTCTGAGACGTTTTGATCCATTATGCCCGTTACTAATAAAAAAATCCCCACTTGCTCAGTTTTCTTGTCTTGATGTTCATGTTTATTTTAAGTTCTAGATTAATTTATTTGTATTGTACGTAGTATATTATTGTCATGTTTTATATGAAGGCAAAACTATTTTCATTTGTTAAATGGGCGTAATTGGTAAGCAAGTGTCAACAACGGTGCTCATCATCAACACACGCAGAAGATCAGAAAACAAAAATGCAACGTAGTCTAATCACGAGCAAGTTAGTGCGAATTAGTGTCTTGCTGTAAACAACACACGTATCGCTTGTTTGTTACAAACCAATAAAACCTGCTCCAAAAATAACCATGTAAATCTAGTTTACCGGATAGAAGTCATGAATCATTGGATCGTAGATTGAACTAAGATTCCTCAAAACAACTATCTGCCAATGCGACCACAGTGGAGCAAATCCACGCCAACTGACGAATCGATTTTACTTTACCCTCACAGTTCGAACAAGTTGTGTAAATTTCTGTTACTATGATGCCCATAAATGGAGCGTCATTTGTCATACAAGTTTACATTTTAGATCGTGTAAAGTTATGAGACATTTCATGAAATCTCGATTAATTTTTCGATGGGACGTATCAGCTTTTGCAAACAATGCATTTGATCGTCAATTTGTCATAACTGGTAGCTCGCTCGTACACGCATGCTAACGCTACTATCAGATAGGGAAAAATTTTCCATCTTTGTTGCAACATTTCTTACAAGTTGCTAGTTTACATGCATGTATGTTTAACATCATCAGTTAAATTCAGAACTTCGCATAATTGTTCGCTAGGGGCAATGAAACAAGTTTGTGCTGGGATTATGCCATTTTGTCTCTCGCCTAACTTTCCAAAATGGCGTTTACGAGATTTTTCAATACATCATAGCCCGAAAACGGCTCATCAAATCGAAATGAAATCTGACTGGATTGCGTTGTCAGAAAAAAAATATACACTGAAAAAATAAATCACATTTTTTGTTAAAAAATGCAAAACCTGTTGAAAACTACAATAGCAAAAAAAGGTGCTTAATTCGACAGTGAGCATGCAGAAGGGCGTAAACGCCAACCTGTTACAACTCTGCATTTACCAATTCTAGATTATTTTTTTCCGCTTAGCTGTAGTAATGCAAAGAGAAAATCGACGAAGAGAATCGATCATAGCGTTTACGCCCTTATGCAAGCTCACTGTCGAATTCATATTTTTAATCTTATGCTTATTTGAAAGCATATAAAAAATTATATCTTTTCTGATGTTCGACACTTTAAAATTGACCAAAATCGTAGAGCGTCAACTTTTAGTAAGCATTTTGCATATTTTTTTAGACGTCATTTCGTTTAAATGAGCATTTCGTGCTATGATTTATTGAGAAATATCGAAAACGCGATATCGGAAAATAAGGCGGAAGGATTCAAAATGGTCGAACTCCAGCACAACCCTAATACAAATTGTTATGGTTATTTTCCTTAACGACGTGTTCTGGGTATATTCCAAACCTTTTGTGGAATAGTTAAATCATTTGGGTTATCATTCGTTTATGGTACATTTTTATCAGGGAAACTTGATCCATAGAGGCTGCCAACAATTATGCGAAGTTTCGTGGAATTCTAAGAGGTAAAGCTAGAAATTCGTTTATTTGTTCGCTATTTGGGGTGGATTTTCTCATGAACCGACGCTTGTTTACTAACCCCACGTTAGCAAGAGAATGACGTCTGACACGTTAGCGAAAACAGCATCGCACAACGCGCTTCTGCCGGGTCAACCCTTATCGCGCTAAATAGCCACGGAGGCCGTGCTCCAATTTTTCTACGAAGCTATCAGCGGCTCGAGTGAATGAGTTGTAAAAGTGAAATATTCCACTTACCTGAATGTTCGTACTTGTGCCGCTGGAGCGAGCTGTGCTTGTTGAAGGCCTTATCGCACTGATCGCACACGTACTGGCCTTCGGCGTCCGGTTGCTCCTTGCCGGTGTTGGCCGTCGAGTAGAGCACCCGTTTGGGAACGTTCAGCATTGATTGCATGTGTAGCAGTTTTTGTTCGTCGTACGGTGATTGACTGTGCAGTTTAACGGCGGCTTCGTACTGTTCCAAATCACGCCACGCCCGTTTTTCCGCTCCGGGACTCAGGCTATCCGCTCGGTGTGGTGGCCGTGCCAGTTCCGGAGAAAACTGCTGCAGAAGACGATCCATACCAACGAAACCGGTCGCTGCTGGAGCCAACGGTGGATAGCCAGTGACGACTGGAGGGCGTATCTGTTGTTGGCGTGGGTGGGATGCGGCTTCGTTCGGAGAGGGTGTTTGACGGATCATCATGTCGGTGGAGAATTGATTGTACGGATAGAATCCCTTGAAGGGCGTGGAACTACGAGATGACTTTACACTGAGATTCATAGCTTCGTCCAGCAAGGTAGAAGTTTCCGGTTGCGTGAGAGGAGCCGTTCCGTACCGTGGTGAGCTGGAGGGGATGGAGTCAGTTTTCTTGACAGACAGGTCTAGCGGTTGGTCGGTTTCCGAAGAGTGAATGGCTGCAGGAGCGTCCGTTGGGAACAGCACAGGTCCGGTGCTTTCAGTTGGTATTGGGCCGCGAGTGATGGGAAGGTTTCCCATTTTTCTTTCTCGCGATCGGTTGTTCTGGAACCACACTTGCACAACCCGAGCCTCCATGCCAACGCGCTTGGCAATCATCTGGAATTCTTCCCGATTTGGCTTATTGTTCATGGCGTAATACTTTTTGAGTTCGTTCTGTTGTTCTTCGGAGATAGCGGTTCGTACACGAACTTTCCCACTACGCTCCGAAGATATTTTGGAACCATCGAAATCCATGTCATCTTCGCTGCCACTGTTCAGTGGCAAGTAGTTGTTTGCAGCTGCTGCAGCAGCAGCTGCGGCTGCCATCTGTTTCTGGAACAGCAGAGATTGACACAATACCTGTTCGTGCTGAATCAATTCCGCCTGATGGTTGAAGGTAGCTTGGCACTGTTGACACTGGAGGATGGAAGACTTATCTTCCATTTTATCCGATTCCTCGTCGTCCTTGTACTCCTGTTTGATTTGTGGTACAGGAGAGGATACCTGCACAGGACTAGGGCTGCGATGATCAATATCGATATTAAGTTCCGGGGATGACATCGATTCCGGTCGTTCCGTTTTAATCTGCTCACCACCACTCGCATTTACCGGTGTCGATTGTCTATGTGCTACCTGTTCTCCGACGGACATACGATGAGCTGCATCGAGTATTTTCTGTTTTACATCATCGAAAATATTACGGTAATCATTCTCCGATGAGACCTCAGCCCTCGCAGAATGATGATGTTCGACGACAACCGGTGAAGGCTGGGTGGAACGCCGCTCGATTGGAAACTTCTGCTCCTCTTCCTCGTCATCTTCGTCCACTTTGATGTCTTTCTTGTCGGAATCTTCATCATCTTCCTGAACGTCGTCTTCATCGTCGACGTCCATCACGAGTTTCGGTTCCTCCTCTTCTGCGACCTCTTCGATCATGTCTTCCGCATCGGAATGGACGCTCGGTGATTTGGATCTTCTGCCCATGTCCGACTTGAGAGTGGCATTGAATTGCTGTTGAGTTTTGAGAATCAGTGACTCCATTGATTCTGCACCGGGAGCTGAGCCAGCAGCTGCCGACAATTCAAGCAAACGCTGTATACTGTAAGGACTGAAGGCGGCACTGCTCGGATTCAGAGCGGAAATGGGATAGAAGTGATTGAACGAGGCCAGCAGGGCAGCCGTTTCGTAGTTTGGCGGATGCAGCATGGGAAAAAATGCATTGGAGTTGGAGCCGTTGCTAACATTTTGACCGTTGGGCAGCTGTCCATTGGATAGTCCTGCCGCTGCCGGGCTACCTCCGGGAAGATAGGATCCCGATCGTCGACCAGTTTTGTCAGATTTTCCACTTCCCGGAGGGCTGTTATTATTGTTCGCCACGGTAGCATTGTTGTTGTTCAGTTTCAGCCCCATGCTAATACATTTCTTCGACGTCATGTGGCTCGAGTAGGAACCGGAATGGGAGAACCGTTTGCCGCAGTTGGTGCAGCCGAATGGTTTCTCACCCGAATGTATGCGCACGTGTTCCTTCAGGTGATGCTTGAATTTGAACGCCTTATCACAGTCGGTACATTTGAATTTACGCAGCAGCGTCGATTCGTCGTGGGAGATCATGTGACGCTGGAGACGGTACACGTTGGCAAACTGCTTGTGGCATACCTTGCAGCTCTGTAATGAAACCGAGAGATAGTGGAAGCATTGGATTAGTCAACTGATAATCGGCGTAAAAAGCTGGAAATGGTAGTACTAGAGTATACAATACGCATAAAAACGTGAACCGATTCCTAGCTACGGTGCTGATTAGGAACACGGAGGAAATTACTCCGCGACGCGTTGTATCAGAATGTGGCGTGGAATTGAGTTCGATTTATTTATAAAAAAGCGATTTGTTTTGAAAGAGTCTGATAGGTGCAAACGGGTCGAGTGGAAAAAAAAATATGAACGAACGGGTGGAGGGCGGGTGGTTCAGCACGCTTAAAGTGGAGCAAAAATCTACGCGCTTCGAACTGATTGATCGATTTATGATGGGAATTTTATATGAAGCACACGATACGCACCATTTTGGACCAGCTTTCAATCACGCGTGAAATGCGCTCGTATGCACACACGTACGCAGATGGATGGGCCAGCATTGAACGCTAGTGCGCTGGAAGCCGATGATCAAATGGACGGGAAAATGTAATAAAATTCGTATAATAAAAAAGCAGGAGCAAAAAAAAACGGAATATTTTTTAACGAATATCTGTGTTCAAACTACCGCAACGCGGCAATGCGCCAGTAATTTCCGTTTGCAATCAAAATATTTTTGTTTTTACACGTTCGATTTTTATGGTGTAAATTAAACAAGCTGGTGCTTTTATTGACACCCGATCGAGAGGAGAGGCGATCCGCAGCGGAACGGGTTGGCCAGACGGCAGTCAGGATTTAGCCGATATATTTTTATCTTCCCGTGCGAAGACTCGAGTGGTGAAATGTACCAACGAAAAAAAAAAAAAACGAACCGTCAATCGTGCATACCATGATGGAGTGTTTGAGTGCATGTGTGTGTGTGTGTGTGTGGAAAAAAACCTGTGAGGTAAGAATGTACTCCAGCATCGAGACAACGCAGATGTACATACGTCGCTTTACTTAAGCGGATACCACAATCCGCTCTTCAAAGGGAAGAGAGATTTAAAAATAAAAAAGGCCATGATGCATGAAGAATACCGCGCACACGGTTCTTGGCACCGGGCAAGCACCTTTTCTTTGTGTGCTATGTCCTTTGGAACAGATGTGTTGCAGTTGCTTAACTCTAGTAACACATAAGACTAATAGCGTTTTGTGCTGATCGCGAGAAATTAGTCATTTATCAAAATCGAAAATTTTGAACTACGAGAAATACGCGGAAACTATTTTTAAAACAACACTAACACAGTTGCAGGGTCACTGTTTTTTTTTTGGTTGTCTAACATAGTTTTCCTGGATTGATTGAAACAGCCAAATATGATAAAAAATACCCCAAATATCATCACAAGTTTTATCGAGGTTCTACAAAAGTGAAGTCTATAAGCTAATGATAAACCCAACACTGTTACTTGTGTCACAGATTACGATTTCGTATAGCTTTTGACCCATAGGAATGCAGTTTTTTCGGAGAATCGTTGAGTCTCAACGAAATTTTTAGAAGAAACTCGAATGAATTCCGGGGAGAATCAAAACTTAATTTAAGAGGATCGCAACAAACAATTTTGTTGTTGTTTATATACGAGAAAGGCACTTGTCATCGGTAGGTTGTTTGATTTTGCGTTTTTGCGCCACTTAAGCGTTTTTGGATCATTGTGGCCTTTCATCATCTGTCTTCAATATTGGTGGGTCGTCCTTAAAATTATAGCTACAAAGTTTCATAAAGCTAAGCATGTTATGTGCTCAGTTGATGATTGAATGTTGTGGTGTGTTATCAAAAGCTCCCCCAGCAAATTTAATTCCTTCGTCATCCAAAAGCAATTTGAAAATACGACGTAGTAGGTATGTTTGTTTTGCTCAAAACGATGAAAATTAATTGAGCCAAACATTGAGGCCTACACGTACGTCGTAAAGCAGTCTCAAGAGCCGAGTGAAACTTTTCCTCAAATTGGAACCAAACAGTCCTACACCTTGGCGTACACAAACATACTTGAAGCGAATATTTTTAGCCTAATCTCTGCGCGTCTATCCGCGGCGAGAGGTGCGACAGAAAAATGTGGACCAATAAAAAGTAACAAATTTCAATCTCACGATTTAATTCAATCCATCACCATGTAAATTTAGGACTAGGTACACTACGGCAGCACCCGAGAATGCGAACGTTGTTGGGTAGAGTGACAAACGGCGCGCGGCGTCCACCGCATGCAGAATGGCGCTAATCGAAGTAGCACACACTTGGACGAGTGTCGGTTTCGAACCGGTGAAATCGAACGTTTCCCAACTGCATCGGAATGAAGCTTAGTAGCGATAATCAAGTCTGGCGTTGATCTCCGCGAACCAATTGGGCATGTAGGCATCTTCTGATTTACTTATGCACACCGTTCTGTGATCGAATTTCCGAACGAAAACATGCTGAATAGGTGCGAGGACTGTGCGTAGGTATGTGGAAATCTACGGTATGCTGAAGGGCTATAATTAGCATCTAGTTTCCGTTCGAGTGTGGAAAGAATTTCTTCTTGAGCAGCCAGCAAAAAATGCAAACAAAGGATTAAGCCCGATTACCTATTTTGGTTGCTTTCTTTGGCCAGCCTGCTTGACTTGCTAGATCAAAATATTTTCGTTCGAAAGTGTCTTTGCGCGACAGGAAAAAATACGTAGCTCTGCTTACAATTCCCTTTTGTTTTGATTCGATTGTACCCGAGGGGTGATCCGAATCAAAATAAGCGCTCGAATTCTCCGAACGAACGCCACCCACGTAGCTTGCGCGGTCATCAGTTTACGTAAAGACAGAGCTAATTCATTCACGAATTGCTTAAAATCCCACCGCTAATTTTGTGCTGTCACATAGAAGTCGCGCGCGTACCGGGCGCCATTTTACCACCTGTCATCTTCGTCATCTAGCATATGCGCGCTCGGCTAGAGACGCTCTTTGTATACCTCCGGGAAAACCTAGCACCCAGCATTTATCTCCAATTTATAATCCAGCGCATTTCGCCACCTGCTCGGCACTTTCGCTCTCACATCACTCTCTAATCTCCTCGCTGGCCGTCATCCGAAAGCCATATATTTTACCGTCCTCCTCCTTTCGAAGCAGTGCACCCCACTGTCGTACCGATGCTCTTTTTTCACTTCACACCTAACGCTAATTATTTCCACTTTTAATTATAAACAGAACATCACAGCCCCAGTAAGAGGGATTTTCGTGAGCCGATAGATACCGGTTGAGGGGGCACCACATGTGACACCGCGCTGCTGGTGTTTGACGTGTATACGCACCTAGGCCGCTGCCGCACATGGGCGCCACGGTATCTCTCAAAGCCGTGAAAAGTGCTGCACGATTATGTTTCGGAAAAAGATCTCTGCAGCAGCGGTCGTCAACCCAAAGTGGTGCGACCAAACAAACGAGCTCGACAAAGTAAGTTTTGATTAATCAGCCGCCGAAAGCGGAACATGAAATTGAACTTCTCACTGGGCGTTTATCTTGTTTCGACCCGCCGCCACAGGGGTGCTAACAAATTGACTAACCCGAGATTTTTCCTATTATGAGGTAGGTATTTCATATTAGCTGTTGTCTATTATTTACGGTAAAGTTTGTTATAACAAGCATCACCAGATATCAGCGATGTTACAGGGATGTTTGCGATGAAACAAACCTTTGAAAAACGCTCCGTAGCTACTACGATTTACTGTCCTGCCCGTGCTTGTTTAGTTGGAGGAGCGTAGCTTTTTTCTAGAATCTTAAGGTGGTTAAATCGAGGAACTGATTCTAGACAGGACGTCGACTCAATGAAGAAAATCAAATTCTCTGATTTTACAGCAATTATAAAAAAAATCCAGGTGCAGTGCCTCCCCGGTTTTGGACAACTTCATCAGCTATTAATTTTCTCAGATATGTACTAGTGCTACCCTCAGGATCTAATTTCAACTCAGGAGTGTGCCAACAGTGCAAGCTGAATTTATATCGGGCCCAAAATACGCTTTTATTTGAGTAATTTTTGGTCTACTTGCAAAAATACAACCAAACGTTCGTAACAATATTCAAAATTCGAAATAAACAACCATCCTCAAACTAAACCCAGTAATTAAGTTATTTGAAACTAGCAAAGTCAGTAATACTGTGATTACGAAATATTTCCCACAATTTTAATTAAATTACCCGAGATTTCCTGATTTTCCAGGTCCAAAAATTGATTCCCTGATATTCCATGATTATCCAAGTTTTTTTCTCAGGTAGACGACATCTTGCTAAAGTGCCAAGATTCTTGAGAGATAAACTGTCATGCACGTTATACGGATTTACGGCTTCTACATAACCATCCACTGACTTCCAGAGTCCAAATTCAGATCACAACTTCAAATAATTAATCATTGTTACCAGTGCTGATACAAATAATTCCTTCTACACTCAACTTAGCTGAAAATAAAGACAACCTTAACAGATAGATCAACTACCTGCATGAATTTGAATTTTGACATATGAACACATTCTCTTGATCAAGGCAACCTCTGAGTATCGAAGTCAGCATTTGTTTTTGTTCACTCGTGGCTGGAAGTTTACTATCGCTTGTGTTGTTGTCAATATCAATGTTCATCTTCATCTTGGTGGAGATGATTTTGAGAATCAAATTCAAAATGATTATTTTCATATTACACAAATACAGCGCTGTAGAACGTGTTGTACTGGTTTTTATACACAGATTGATGGAAACTTATTGCCTCATGCTGAATTGATGATAATATCGAGGTTTAAGGCTCTGGTATCGACAATATTCAAAATAATCATTTTTGAGAATCGCTTCTGATTTTGACAATTTTGGGTTTGATAATCAATTAGTGGTAAATATCAACAAACGCGTATTCGTTGAAGTATAATGAACTAATTTGTTCGTTTCGCTCGTTCTTCACAGCGAAGATATTCAAAACGAACGCAATTCATCTCCCCTGGGTTGAAGCGCTATTCCTTGCGTGTGATGGTAAATGATAAAAACAGACACTGATTCTTACAT